ACTGGATTGTGAAAATCGCTTCATTTTTTATGTGAATTAAGGTGAAAAAGGACAAATATTAAATAAAGGCACATACATACTCACACACACACACACGCAAACACAGACCTACACACACACACACACAAACACGCACACACACGTACACACACACACACACACACACACACACACACACAAACACGCACAAACACGCACACACACACACACAAACACACACATACACACACGACAAAACCATCCAGTCTCTTATATCACACCCTTGATTTTACTTAATAATGACGAGTGACTATTGTTAAACTCGAAATCAGAGAAAACATTTTCTATATGCTTAGTATTTTCTATATTCTTTAAACACTGACTCGTAACCTGTGAGCAAAATGCCCATTGTTATCTTTATTACTACTGTTATTATCATTATTATTATTATGGGTAATAATGATAATGTTAATGGTGATATTAATAACTGTGATGATCAAAGCAATATTGATGTGAAGACTGACTTTATTATTACTATTGTTATCAGTATAGTTATTACTATTATCATTTTTATAATTATGATTGTCATTACCATTTTATTGATTCATCATTCATTCATTATTATCATTATTGTTGTTATCATTATTATTATTAGTGTCATTACTGGTATTACTGTTATTATTATTATTATTATTTTTGTTGTCTTTATCATTATCATCGTATTATTATCATTATTCTTACTGTCATCATTATTATTATTACTATCATTTTTATTACTATTTTCAGTACAATTATTATTATCATTACTACTGTTATTATCATTATTATTATCGTCATCATCATCATCACCATTTTCATAATCATCAGTCATGCATCATCATTATTGTTGTTATCATCATTATTATCATTATTATCATTATCGCCGTCATCATCCACATAGTCATGACAATTATTATCATTATTATTGTTACTATCATTACACACATACAATCCCATAGACGCGCGCGCGCACACACACACACACACACACACACACACACACACACACACACACACACACACACACACCTATAAACACACAGATACACTCACCTATAAACACACACACACACAAACACACACACACACACACACACACACTCCCATTAACACACACACACACACTCCCATTAACACACACACACACACATAAACACCTATAAACACACAGACACACACACACACACACCTATAAACACACACACACACACACACACACACACACACACACACACACAACCAATCCTCCACAAGGAAAATAAACACCTACCCACTGCTCACGCTACGAACCGCATATACCACCACTGCTCCTATCACTCGCACTGCAAATCATGATAACGTCGTGTCTTTGCAGATAAGGTCCCCCACCATGACTCACGAAGGCGAGTACCAGTTTTCAAGATTCGATGAGCTTATGTTACTTAAATCTCTTATGACATTCCTGCTTGATATTGCCCTTACCATCAAGACTATCGTCGATGTTTATAAGGTATGTGAATAAAAAGGGTTAATGGGTATATGTTGAATGGGTAATGGGTAGGGGATGGGGTATCTTAGATATGGGTGCGGATAGTGTTATGTATGTGGTGATGACACTGCTGATGATACTGGTGATGATACTGGTGATGACACTGGTGATGACACTGGTGATGACACTGGTGATGACACTGGTGATGACACTGGTGATGACACTGGTGATGACACTGGTGATGACACTGGTGATGACACTGGTGATGACACTGGTGATGACACTGGTGATGACACTGGTGATGACACTGGTGATGACACTGGTGATGACACTGGTGATTACACTGGTGATGACACTGGTGATGACACTAGTGGTGACACTGGTGATGATAGTGCTCAAAGTTGGTGGTGAACAGGGAAGGGAGGTAATAAGGGTGATGACAATTAGTGACGGTAATCATTAGGTGATAATGTTAATGAAATAGTGATGATGATAATGGTGATGTTCGTGATGTGGTGATAGTGATGGTGATTTTAATGATGCGGTGATTGTGATAATGATGATGGTGATGTTAATGACGTGATGGTGATAATGAAGATGACGATAATGATGGAAACTATAATAATAATAATAATTATGATAACAGCAATAACGATAACAGTGATGATATAAAGATAATGATAATCACACCTTTGATAACATTGATAAAAGCAATATATAGTATCATTACAAACCTGTTACTAAAAGCTACAATTCCATGAATGTTGTCATGACTAAATATCCTGGTAGTATAAATGATAATGAAAATTATTATAATGCTAACAACTATAACAATGGCGATGGAATAATGACAATAACATGAATAGTAAAGATGTTAATAAAAATGGTATTGATAATGTTAAGGAGGGTGATAATAACAATAATAATAGTGAAAATAGGAATAATAGTAATAGCAATAGTAGTATTAACGACAGCAATAGTAAAAACAAAATAATACTACTATTACTATAATATAATTATAAATATAAGGGTAATGATAATGATAATAATAGCAATGATGATGACAAAGATAAGGACAAAAAATTAAGAAGGATGACAATAATGATAATAACATGAAAATAATAATGACAATGATGATATTAACGATAACAGTAATAACAAGAATAACAGGGGCACGATATTAAACATGCTATTTTTTCTTACAGAATGATACATACCTTAAGGAACTTTACTTATCCTGTTTCATTATCCCGAACATTCTTGCTGGGATAAAATCACTTCACTGGTAAGTTGGATCATTAATAGCAATGCCATAGATGATGGTATTGATGATGAAGATAATAGTAATAGTATTAATGATAAGGATAGTGTTGATGTTCATGATAGTAATGATAGTTATAAGGATGATAGTGATGGTGATGGTGCAACAATAATGCTAATAAAAATACTGCTAATGATAAAGATAGTAATAATGATGGTGATTATAATGATAATGATGATAATAAAAATAATAATGATAACAATAATAATAATAATAATAATAATAATTATAATAATGATAATAACTTACTGCGTATGCGTTTGTGAGTATATATATATGTGTGTGTGTGTGTGTGTGTGTGTGTGTGTGTGTGTGTGTGTGTGTGTGTGTGTGTGTATGTGTGTGTACATGTCTCCGTATCTCCCAACTACGCCCGCACACACACGTATCCACAAAGCGCAAGCAACCGAAACAGACGTACGTATGTATCCGCAGGTACTGGCTTCGGTATTGCGGAAACGAACTAACGGAGGAGGAGAGGGCAAAGGAAGAGAAGAAAAATATTTGGATCTTTCGCTTTGTCTTCTTCTTCTTCAGCCCAATCCCCAGGTAAGAACGAGGAAGAGGAAGAGGAAGAAGAGTTAAAGAGGGAGTGAAGAGGGAGAAAGAGAGGGTAATACATAAGAAGGTGAGAAAGAGTGTGATAGATAAGAAGGAGATAAAGAGGGTGATAGATAAGAGAGAGATAAGAGGGGATAGAATAAAAGAGAAATAGGAAATGAGAGGGTGATAGAGAGGTGATAAAGAGGGTGAAAAGGTAAATAAGAGGCAAGAAATCAGGAGAAACAAAGAAGGTCTAGACAATGTATTATGACGTAGATACAAAGGCGATTAAATAATGCTATAGATAAAAGTGTGATGCTATAATGGTGTAGAATCAGCGATGGTGAAATAATGATATTCATACAGGGTGTCAAGAGTAAGTGCGAGTGTGATGACAGGAAAATAACTTTCTTTACAACCTTAGTTCTTTGACGTTTTCTCAACCCAAAACTGTATACAAGAAAACTCTCTCTTCTTTCATTCTGATACCCTCCCCCTCAAAAAAAAAAAAAAAAAGGCGGGTTTTTTAAGCGGGTTGGTGCGGGTTTTAAGAGGGTTTTAAGCGGGTTTTTAAGCGGGTTTTTAAGCGGGTTTTTAAGCGGGTTGGGTGCGGTTTTTTAAGCGGGTTTTTAAGCGGGTTGAGTGCGGGTTTTAAGAGGGTTTTAAGCGGGTTTTTAAGCGGGTTTTTAAGCGGGTTTTTAAGCGGGTTTTTAAGCGGGTTTTTAAGCGGGTTTTTAAGCGGGTTTTTAAGCGGGTTGAGTGCGGGTTTTAAGAGGGTTTTAAGCGGGTTTTTAAGCGGGTTTTTAAGCGGGTTGAGTGCGGGTTTTAAGAGGGTTTTAAGCGGGTTTTTAAGCGGGTTTTTAAGCGGGTTTTTAAGCGGGTTGGGTGCGGGTTTTAAACGGGTTGGGTGCGGGTTTTAAGGAGGTTGGGTGCGGGTTTTAAGGAGGTTGGGTGCGGGTTTTAAACGGGTTGGGTGCGGGTTTTAAGAGGGTTTTAAGCGGGTTTTTAAGCGGGTTGGGTGCGGGTTTTAAGAGGGTTTTAAGCGGGTTGAGTGCGGGTTTTTAAGCGGGTTTTTAAGCGGGTTTTTAAGCGGGTTTTTAAGCGGGTTGAGTGCGGGTTTTAAGAGGGTTTTAAGCGGGTTGAGTGCGGGTTTTAAGAGGGTTTTAAGCGGGTTGGGTGCGGTTTTTAAGCGGGTTTTTAAGCGGGTTTTTAAGCGGGTTTTTAAGCGGGTTGAGTGCGGGTTTTTAAGCGGGTTTTTAAGCGGGTTGAGTGCGGGTTTTAAGAGGGTTTTAAGCGGGTGGGTGCGGGTTTTAAGCGGGTGGGTGCGGGTTTTTAAGCGGGTTTTTAAGCGGGTTTTTAAGCGGGTTTTAAGCGGGTTGGGTGCGGGTTTTCAAGCGGGTTGGGTGCGGGTTTTAAGGAGGTTGGGTGCGGGTTTTAAGCGGGTTGGGTGCGGTTTTTTTAAGCGTGTTGGGTGCGGGTTTTTAAGCGGGTTTTTAAGCGGGTTGGTGTGCGGGTTTTTAAGCGGGTGGGTGCGGGTTTTTAAGCGGGTTGGGTTGCGGGTTTTAAGCGGGTTTTAAGCGGGTTGGGTGCGGGTTTTCAAGCGGGTTGGGTGCGGGTTTTAAGCGGGTTGGGTGCGGGTTTTTAAGCGGGTTGGGTGCGGGTTTTTAAGCGGGTTGGGTGCGGGTTTTTAACGGGTTTTAAGCGGGTTGGGTGCGGGTTTTTAAGGAGGTTGGGTGCGGGTTTTTAATCGGGTTTTTAAGCGGGTTGGGTGCGGGTTTTAAGGAGGTTGGGTGCGGGTTTTAAGCGGGTTGGGTGCGGTTTTTTTAAGCGTGTTGGGTGCGGGTTTTTAAGCGGGTTGGGTGCGGGTTTTTAAGCGGGTTGGGTGCGGGTTTTTAAGCGGGTTGGGTGCGGGTTTTAAACGGGTTGGGTGCGGGTTTTAAGAGGGTTTTAAGCGGGTTGAGTGCGGGTTTTTAAGCGGGTTGGGTGCGGGTTTTAAGCGGGTTGGGTGCGGGTTTTAAACGGGTTGGGTGCGGGTTTTAAGAGGGTTTTAACGGGGTTGGGTGCGGTTTTTTAAGCGGGTTGGGTGCGAGTATTAAGCGGGTTGGGTGCGGGTTCTAAGCGGGTTAGGTGTGGGTTGTATATGGTTGTGTTTTGTCGTTATTTGAATGAGGATTTCAAGACGCAGATGATAAATGAGTCGGTGGTGGGTGGATGCGGTTTTTGTGGGGGCTGGGTGCGGGTTAAGTGCGGATTTAGTGAAGACCTTATACGGTTGGGTTTTGTGGTTGGTGTGTGGGTGCGGGCGCAGGTTTGGTTGGCTGGGCTGGGAAGAGTTGGGTTCTATATGGTTGTGTTTTATGGTTGAGTGGTGTGTTAGGTGCAGGTTAGACTGGGATTTGCGAGTGGTAGATGAGATTAGTTTTGTAGTTTGTGATTAGCAGATTAAAACAAATAACGAGGTTTCCTGACTGTTTTCGGCGACATTTCGAAATGACGTTAATCGGTAATGATAATCATATATATATAACAGCAGTGATAGTGAGATATTGATTAACACTGATAATAAAAGTAGTGATAATGATAATGATATCAACATCAAAACCACCACTACCATTATCATTACTACCATCAAGATCATTAACACCACCAACCACCACCATCATTATTACCATCACCAACATCATTATCATCACCATCACTATCACCATCACCACCACCAATCACTATCACCTTCTTCCTCTTCTCTTTTCCCAGAACTCAGCGCTCAAATCTTTCCAGTTATATTAATCTTGTACAAACTCTACAAAGTGTCTGATGTTATGATGTCATACACAACGAAGACAAAGAAATGGTGGCATTTGGAAAATAAGGCTGAGTATGAGGTAAAGTCATGGTGGTGGAAAAAAAACATATGGTGAAAATATGGTGATTGGGAAATGGCCAATTGATGAAGAATATGCTTATGTGCCTGAGTATGTGTGTGTTTGGAGGGGGTGGATTGGAAGTGTGTGTGTGTGTGTGTGTGTGTGTGTGTGTGTGTGTGTGTGTGTGTGTGAGTGTGTGTGTGTGTGTGGAAGGGGAGGAGTGTAGTATGTGTCGTTTGTGTATGTGTGTTTGATTGCGGTTGTGTGAATATGGATATAAGTTTGTGTGTGTGTGTCTGTTTTTGCTTGTTGATGTGTGCACCTATGCGCGTGTGTATTTGTTCATACTTGCGGGAATGTAGGCATATGTTTGGTTGTTTGTGTGTGTTTATGTGCATGCTTGTATGTCACTGCGTGTGTGTGTGTATGCTTTTCCTTCAATGCATGTATTTGTCACTTGGCGTGTGCGTTTGAGTTCATATGAAAGTATATGTACATAACATTATCCATCACTGATATCGTTTCAACACATACTAAAGTATAAATACACTTTAAATGCACTTACAGCGGCGCTCCCCCATTAAATCGGTAAGGAAAGGCGCAATTGACTTCCCAGGAAAGCTGTGTCTAATAGCCCTCCACTCCTCCCAAATAGGTAAGTCACGAAATTCGTATTTACATATTCATTCCTTAAGGAGTACATTTAGATATAAAGAACTTTGTGTCGTGATTCATAGAAATACACTTGAGGTACAGTTTTACAGGATATTTCGATACTCACTATTCGTACCACTCAATACACTGTTCGAATCTAGAGATATTTCGAATCATTATGTACACTGGTTTGCTAAAAAGACAATTCGAATCTTTTGACAGAATGTTTCGATGCAAAGACCATTCGAACAAGTTAAGACACTGTTCCGATAGAGAGACCATTCTTTGCTTCGGTACAGAGATAGTTCGAATCAATATGTGATTCAATACAGAGATAATTCGAACAATATTCGATGCACCAACCATTACACTTTCTGCCTCTTGCAGCTTGCAAGTGCTTGTGCTATGCAATGGTGACTGCAACCAGCCTTCCTTGGGTGATCTATCTGCTGGTGGGGTTGAGGTGGACTGCCAACTTCTGCATCTACTATTTCAGCCTGAACTTCAGAAGATTCGGATCTCCGGGCGTGGAAATTAGTCGGACGCTGACGGCGATAGTGGTTGGTGAGATCGTTGGCCTTTTCTGCCTTTTATCTTTCTGTTTCTTATTCTGAAGGTGTTTTACTGTATTTATTTTTCATTGTAAGAAATGAATTGAATTCTTTGATCGAGGTTTTGATGTCTGGGGTAACATATGCCTATATATACATATATGTCTATATATATATATATATATATATATATATATATATATATATATATATATACACACACGCATATATATCAAAATGAATAAATAAATAAATGAATATATATATATGTACATATATATGTGTGTGTGTGTGTGTGTACATGTGTGTATGTATATATATATATATATATATATATATATATATATATAGATATATATATTGTCGATTTTCTTTCCACTCGATTAAATAAAAAATCGCCACGATTCTAAAAGTTCGTGTGTGTGTGTGGGGGGGGGGGTACATGAGATAAGACCCCTTTCTAACCGCAGACCAACTTTTCAGGTGGAATCGAACTCTTCACACATTTCACGACCACGGAGGGAAAACAACTGTACTACACCCTTCTCTTCCACGCCTTGGATGGTGTCGAGGTCCTCACTGCCTTTTTTCTGTCGAATTTTGCACCCTCTCTTCCAGCTTCTGTTATTGACACTCTAACAACCACTGCCACTTCAGCAGAAATACCCTCAGTAGCAGGAACTTCAGTAGCGCCAACCACAGCATTTTCAACCACAACGTCGCCTGTTCACGTTGTAATAACTGATAATCTTACTGTAAGTATGGGAGGATATGAGACACTATTTCCCTATTCGGAATTTTTATAAACATACAAACACACATCCACGCACGCACGCACAAACACAAACACATACATTCAAACACACAATCACACATGTATATGTACTCTTATATGTATATATATATTAATGCAAACCTACAAGCACACACGTCCCACAGAATCACAACAATAAAAGCAACAATAAAAGCACATACATTTACCTGTACCTAGATATGAACTATATGTATTTCTGCAATTCACAAGCACACATATATCCCCACGGTAACACAACACTACAAACACATATACCCAAATATCTGCATATGTTTCTGGCGATACCTAAAAAGACACACATATAACCCAACACCGTCATCTTGCCACGATCACAGCCAATGAACCAACGGCATGAGCATCTGTTCGAAATTTTCACTTACGGTTCTAACCTCTCCCCTTGCAGGACCCCAAGTACGTCCTCCTTGCTCTGTGGTTCCTCGCGATGATGATTCGTGCCTTTTACTATGTCATTCTTCACCCGAGTCTACCTTCGCTCTCCGCCTACATCCCCTGCTGTTCGAAGAAGGCAATAATGAGAGAGAGAGTGCCAACAGAAGAGAGAGGACAGGCAGAAGAGGAAATTGAATTGAGGGAGAGGGTTTAATGTTTAGTGAACAAGGGTTGTTGTTCTTGTTGTTGGCTTTTCTGTCTCCGTTTCTCGAATTCTCTTTCTCTCTCTCTCTCTCTCTCTCCTCACTATCTTTCTCTTTTCCCCTCATCTCTCTCTCTCTCTGTCTTTCTTTCTTTCTCTCTCTCTGTCTTTCTTTCTCTCTCTCTCTCTGTCTTTCTTTCTTTCTCTCTCTGTCTTTCTTTCTCTCTCTCTCTGTCTTTCTTTCTCTCTCTCTCTATCTCTCTTTATCTCTCTCTCTCTCTCTCTTTCTTTATCTCTCTCTCTCTCTCTCTCTCTCTCTCTCTCTCTCTCTCTCTCTCTCTTTCTTTATCTCTCTCTCTCTTGGTCTGTGGGATGTTTAGGAAGTGGTCAAGGTAATTTGGTGGAAATATATTAGCCTGTATATCTATGTCATATCTTAATTATCCTGATTGGGTATATATCTGATGTCAATCTTTTATATAGATATTCCTGGCACTGTGTCATCAATCTTTATGTGACTTTGATGACGTCTGATTTTATGAATATCTTGTCTAGTATCTTATTGTCGATATTTCATACATATTCACACATAATTATATATACACACATAATATGGACCATTGAGATTATAAAGAGTGCGCGCGGACGATGTGCGTGAGCATGATTGCGCACACACATTCACATGCACGCAATATGTGTGCGGATTTGCACGAATTTGCACATATTGGGTGAGTCAAACCTAGATTTGGTAGTGGGTGAATCTATCGTAAATATAATGGCGGGTTTAGAATCAGCAACAATAATTACAATGAACTACTCCTCTGGATCAGCCACCCCAGTATAAAGACCTAGTCAATTGCATGATGTCAACTTGGCGCCAGGGAGTTCGTCAAACCCCGTATCGGTGATGGCACGAATATGATGACCGTTATTTTATCTTGTCCATTATGTTACGTATATATATTTTATCAATACCTTCTGTGGAGATTATTTTCACGGTGTTGCATATTGCAGAAGGTGTATGGATGTAGAAGTCATCACATATCCAGATATTGATATATTGATGTATATTGTACACTTTATAGTTACTTGAATACACGAATATGTATAATCCTAAACCAGTAGCCTTAAGTTTTGATTTTTGTACGCCAAATAAAAGCATATTCACGTGTGCATGACATTAGTCTAAATTTCCCCATACGACAAGAAAGGAAAATCTAAGGTCCGACTAATCGATTTAGTGTTTGATGAAAGAGATTTGTGGATTTTATATATCTTTCTCTGTCATTCATAAGATAGAGAATCACCAGCTCGATCGGTTAGAATCAAAGGAGAAGGAATTTATTTATCTTTTATTATATTTTATTCTTTTTTTTTATTATTATCGTTATTTTTTGCGAATGATGGGGTGAAAAAAAAATGGTTTGTGTTTTAGGTGTGTTTTTTTCTTCATTCTTTCTCAAAACAAAGCAGAAGCGAAAAATAAGATAAAATAAATAAGGGTTATGTTTTCGACAGTTTATGTTTTAGACATTATTTTGCAGGTAAAAGGAAACGACACTTTTCATAAATCACGTTTTATTATTCTCCTTCTTTATAATAATAATAATAATAATAATGATAATGATAATAACAACAATAATTATAATTATAATAATTATTATCATTATTGTTATCACTATTATCATTATTATTTTGATTATCATTATCATTATTGTTATTATTATAATTATTATGATCATTACCATTATTATTATTATCATTGTTATTATTATTATTATTATTATTATTATTATTACTATTATTATTATCATTATCATCATCATCATTATTGTTATTATTATCACCATTATTACTATCATTATTATTATCTTTATTCTTCTTCTTATTCTTATTATTATCATTATCATCATCATCATTATGGGGAAGGAACACGCGGTTAATAACAAAGCAAATACTTCTGCAAAGTTTTATTACCATAATATATCTAAGGGAGGAAGCCGCCCTGCCCTGAGGTGTGATGTAGAACAAGTTTCAAAAAACAAACAACAAAAAAACAAACAAACAAAAAAAACACTAGAATAAAGATTTATAGTTTATGTTATATATCTATAGAGTTCAGAAGATTTTTTTTTCTCTCGTCATGTAGAATATTATTAACTTTTTTTATTTTCATATTATTGTTAATTGATCTTTATTTTATCTCACATCTATACAAGAGAGTTCATGATATGCGTTAATAAGTTTGAAGAAAAGCTGTTAATACACTGATACGCTGGAAGGCCTTGGGGGGGAGGGAGGGGGGTGAAAAGCAAGCAACGTTTTTGGCCAGATGAGTGAAAGCACAAAAAAGAAAGATTTAGAACGATGATATATATTTCTTTTAAACATTTTTTTTCTTATATTAAAAAAAAAATGTTTTTTTTTTTCTTAATGATTTATTTTTTTCACATAGGACTTGTATATATATATATATATATATTTCAAATAGATGAATTATTGCACTATATTACCACCATACATCCAGTTATGACAATCTTAGAGGAAATTGTGCTTATAACAACCTGCATACATCACTTTTGACATCCTTTGTGGGTAACATTATGAAGTCAGTTACAAAGACGATGAAGATTACAAAACAGAGCTATAGCACTGTGATAAATATTGTATTATATAAAGGTTTATCGAATTTTGAAAGTTTAAATAAACACAACTATGAAGGAAAAAAGAAACTGGACTAAGAAAGAGATAAATAGAAAATGATGGAAGGAAATTATACAAAGAAGTTGAATAGAAAACGAGGGAAGAAATATTAAACATACATTAACATAAACAATAACAATGATTCGTATTGTTAAATTTTAATCTGTAAACTGAATGAATTTTCTTTAACCATAATTCGTGTGACCAAATTTTAATCTGTAAAGAGAATTAATTTTCTCTAACCATAATTCGTGAGATGAAAAATTAATCTATAAACTGAATGAATTCCCTTTGTAATGAGACTTAATTTCCTTTAACCATAATTCGTGTGATAAAAAAATAATGTGGAAACTGAATAGATTTTCTTCAGTTATTATACAATGCAGCTAAGCTCTTAATGATATTTGAATGTATGTAATGTTGTCCTTATTACCTTAAAATGTATCATGCACACAACATTTATAACATTATAGCCTATTAGAGGAAATAGATAATGACGATGAAAAGAAAACAATAAGAATATGAAAAAGATAAGAAAAGTCTGGAAAATGATATGTATTTTTTTTTTGTTATGATTAAGTTGATTTGATGATTTGAATGATAAAGCTTACTGTCCTATATACTTGCAATCTAAAGAGAAGATTGAGGTGAAATAAGAAAAAATAGAATAAAAAGGAAGGACAGAAAGATAAAATAAAGTAATTCTTAGTTATCATAGCATAATTACCTTAGAAATCAACTAACAATGATTTTGAGGACATACTATTAAAGACTGAGAGAAAACGGGAATAATTGCGTCTCATATACCATAAATTTGTCTTTTTTTTGTTTGATTTGATAAATATATACAAGGATGAATGATGATGATGAGGGTGTGTGTTTGTTTGTATCTGTGGGCTTGTGTTTTTGTTTGATTTTAGTGTGTGTGTGTTTATTTGTGTGTTTCTGTTGTGTTGTGCCGTGCTGTGTGTGTGTGTGTGTGTGTGTGTGTGTGTGTGTGTGTGTGTGTGTGTGTGTGTGTGTGTGTGTGTGTGTGTGTGTGTGTGTGTGTGTGTATGTGTGTGTGTATGTGTGTGTGTGTGTGTGTGTGTGTGTTATGTATGTGTGTGTGTGTGTGTGTGTGTGTGTGTGTGTGTGTGTGTGTGTGTGTGTGTGTGTGTGTGTGTGTGTGTGTGTGTGTGTGTGTGTGTGCGTGTGTGTGCACGTGTATGTGCGTGCGTCTGTGTGTGTATTTAGTATAGTGTTGCATGTACGTATGTGCATGTGTATATACGTCGATACGTACATATATATGTATATATGCACACACCAATGAACATGTAAACAAATACGTATCCACAGCATAAAAAAACCATAACAAATAAAATGCAAAACACCTGCATTATGTAAAACCACCTAAAATTCATCTAAGAGAAAGAGGCGTGGCTATGGGACTACACTCTATCATTGGAAGATTGAAGTTTGGATACAACATGAAGGCAAGACAAACCAATGGGAAATTTGCTTGTTGGAAATACGGAATTTATGTTAGAAATCGACTGTTATTTTCTCTCTCTCTTCTTTTTTTTAAGGGTCGTACTATTTAAGATATATTCTAACGCGTCTTTGAGCCACAGATCCAACAAACAGATTTGTCATTTCGGTAATAACAGACATCATAATCTCCGAAGAGTATATATTTCCAAAAAAAAAAAGAAAGAAAAAAATCCAGTTACCTTGGAGATAAATTTCTTCATTGATTATAGAACCATAGAAGATATATATATATATATATATATATATATATATATATATATATATATATATATATATATATATATATATATATGTGTGTGTGTGTGTGTGTGTGTGTGTGTGTGTGTGTGTGTTGTGTGTGTGTATGTATGTATATATATGTATATCAACGAAATATTGTAACAGTTTTAGAATATTTTTTTTCTCTCGTAAAATGATAACAAAAAAAAGATTACTACATTTTTTCTCGATGATCTGCCGTGACGTCATCAAAGACTGGTAGGAGAGAGAAAGAAAGAGAGAAAGAAGAAGTAAAATAGAACAACGAAGAAGGAAAGGAATATAAAAGAATATACGAAAGAGAGAAAGAGAAAAAAGGTAGAAAAATTGCGTTGCTCTTAACATTATCATCCTTTCTCTCTATCTCCTTTTTCCTTCATATTATCCCTTCTACATCTCTCTTTCTCTCTCATTTTTTCCTTCTATTTTTTTTTTCTCTCTCTCTCTCTACTTTTCCCTTCGTATTATCCTTATCTCTTTCTATCTCTATCTTTTTTTACATTATCCTTTTCTTCTTTCTCTTCCTTTTTCCTTCATTTACCCTTTCTCCTTTTTTCTCTCTCTCTCTCTCATTCATTCCACATCTTCACTTCACTTCTTCACATTACCCTTTCTCTCTCTCTCTTTATCTCCCTTTTCTCCTTCCTTTATCATTCACCGCCTCTTGTCTTCTGCCCTTTCTCTGTCTAGCTTCTTTATTCTTTCATATTATCTCTTCTCTCTCTTTTTTCTTCACATTGTCCTTTCTCTCTCTTTTTCCTTTATTCTTTCACGTTACTCTCTCTCTCTCTCTCTCTCTCTCTCTCTCTCTCTCTCCTTTTCCCTTCATTTCATTTTTCTCATTCTCTATCTTTCACTCCTTTTCTCATCCATATTATCCTTTTGCCTCTCTCTCTCTCTCTCTCTCTCTCTCTCTCTCTCTCTCTCTCTCTCTCTCTCTCTCTCCTTTATTCCACCATATCATCCCTTCTCCCTCTTTCCTTTATTCCGCCATATCATCCCTTTCCCCTCTCTTTCTCTCTCTCCCTCTCTTTCTCTCTCTCCCTCTCTCTTCCCCTCCCCCTCCCCCCCCTCACGGCTTCGGAAGGCAAGACGGGACCCTATCCGACCACCTCCCCCCCTCGAGGCAGGTGATGGTCCTCTGCCCGTGGAGAACGAAGTCGTCGCTGCAGGTGTAGGTCACGCTGTCGTTGATGGGGTAATAGAACTTCACTTTGCTCATGGTGCCCGAGATGATGATGCCCGGGTACGTGCAGGCTTGGGAACCTGGGGAGGGGGGGGGTGAGGAGAGGGGTGGGTGGGTGGGGTGAGAGGGTGGGTGGGTGGGTGGAGAGGGTGAGGAGAGAGGGGTAAGGAGAGAGGTGAGGAGAGAGGTGAGGAGAGAGGGGTGAGGAGAGAGGTGAGGAGAGAGAGGTGAGGAGAGAGGGGTGAGGAGAGAGGTGAGGAGAGAGAGGTGAGGAGAGAGGGGTGAGGAGAGAGGTGAGGAGAGAGGGGTGAGTGGGAAGAGGGTGGCAGGGTGGCGGGGAAAGGGTAGGGAGAGGGTGGGTGGGAAGAGGGTGGGTGGGTGGAGAGAGAGGGGTGGAGGGAGGTAGGTTGGAGGGAGGGGTGAGGAGAGGGATGGAGAGGGGATGGGTGGAGAGAGGGTGGAGAGGGAAGGGGTGGGAGGTTGGAGCAGGAG